GGTTTTCTCTGGGTGCTCCGGTTTCCCCTACCACTACAAAGCACATACAATAGTGGTGAATGAGTGTGCGTTTCTGAATACGACTGTGACAACGGATGTAGGTGATCCTGAGGCTGCAGTCCAGAGAGCTGTGTTCATTCACATGCAGTGTTTTCACCAAAATGCATTTCAACTTCCATCCAGAACAGTATTTTTTTATTTTTTATTAATTTAATTATTTCAGTTGGGGACATGATACCAACACAACCTAATACAATGACATTACAAACCATTGAGGTCCTTTCACACAAATGAAAAGGAGCCTGCCCCTTTCTTAATCATGTACACACTCAAAAGAAAAAAAAAGATACTGCTTCTTTATACTTTTTTTTTTTTGATTGATCTGTTATTAATTGGAGCAGACATTAAGCTCACAGTACATACATACACATGCATGTAAAAGCACTTTAATAATGATTTTGCACTTATTGAAACTAAGTGTCAATTGTTTCCTGCACTTTTTTAAATTCATTTTACTTCTGTACTTTTAACCTTGTTTATTTATGTACTTGTCCTGCGCACACTGGGGACTTTTGCAAATGTATTCCAATGTTTACTGCAAATGGAAAATAAAATTAATCTGAATCTCAATCGTACATACAATAACAGACATAAATATACTATCATCACAGTATTTGCGGTAGTTCCATTGTGTGTGTGTGTATGTTCACAATATCAATATATATTTACAAATTTCATGTATGTTTTATTCATGTATTTATTCTTTCCATATTAATTCCTTTCATATGATTCCATTGTTCTTCCTTTGATTTCTTTCGTAAACATGTGGGTGTTTGCTGAACTTTTAATTTAATATTGCTGTTATTTACCCATCTCTGTAGATCCACATCACTCCCAACAACTTATGGCTCAAACATAAGCATTTTCCACTTCCATCCCCATTAGATTTGAATCTCTGTTGTTGTTGGATGGTGAGAGATGTCGACATAGATAGGCCCTTTAAATCCTCCAGTTCTCATTACACTCCTCAGGATGTTTTGACATTAGAATGGCGTTAAATGAAACTTGCGTCCCGCCTGTTTCGGCTCTGGATGGATGTGTTGAGAGCAATAGTCCAGGCCATTCCCCCCTAAAACCTCCATGTTGCCTTTTCCTCCACGGGACTCTCCTGCTGGAAATCCCCCCGTCTGTTGAAAGGCAGTCCTCAGAGATGGACTCGGCACTGAATAGAAACGTCTCAATCTTTCACTAAAAGAAAGGTAAATATATGTATTAGTGGTGTGGACGGGAACATCTGTAAAATGGATTTAAGCGTGGACTGGACGACCATGATTGGTTCTCACATGAATATCAATGCTATGTTTGGTCAGGTCTACGATATGTGATAACCAAAAGTTGTATTGCATTGAGCTACTGATCTACAGGCCTAGCAAAAATGTTGAAGAAAGTCTAATTTGGAGTCGTTGCTTCCAGATGCAGGAGGGTCTAAGGAAAGGGCAATCTTTTCCTCCTGAGGGCCACATTCGAATATCAACCTGCTGTCGGGGGCCGGACACAATCCAAGGTTTTTTTCTCAGACTTATTTTCTACACAAAAAATATATTGTATTAAATATTATATCTTGCGGCAGAACCAGGCATGCGACTGTGGCTCCAGAGCTCCGCATGCAGCACTGAGGGATTTTAAGTCTTTAATTAAACTATATTTGTATAAACTGAGGAGGGCTACCGGGTCTGATAGAAACATTCAATGGGCCACATCTGACCCACGGGCCGTGGTTTGCCCCCCTCTGGTCTGAGGACAGCGTTGATCCGGGACATGGACATTTATAGACATTCCTCATCTGACTCCCTATGGACAAAATACTCCTATGTGTTTGTCATTATAACTTTTCCTGTGTTCGAATATTGGATTCTCCGATCTGTTGTTGGTGAATCGACAACTTTGTAAAGACCTCGGAGACAATTGCTGTTGTGATTTAAGGTAAAACCAAACCATTTAGAGTGTACTTACTTTTACTTGAGTGTATTTTTCTCAGAAATAGTAATCAAGATGAGCTATACTGTATTTTACTTTAATGTCCCTGTAGGTAAATGTGTCCTGTGCATTTGACCCATCCTTCAGTCCCGCTCTGTCAGCAGCAGTGGTCCCACAGTGCTGCGCTCGGGAACACATCCCTAAATGCCGACGCTCGGGTTGATCAAGACCGGAGCTGGAGGATTTTGCCTGTTGTACATGTTATTAGTGCGGGGGAAACCATAGCACCTGGAGGCAACCTATGCAAACACAGGGAGAACATGCAAACTCCATTCAAATAGGCCCAGTTCCGATTGGGATTCAAAGCCAGGGTCTTCTTGCTGAGGGTGCTAACTACTCTGCCACCATGTCGCCCTAAGAAGAAACTTTAAGAACAGTTACTGTGTTCTTAACACAGTAACTGTGTTAAGAACACAGTGTTACTGTGTTACTCTTTCCACATTTAAATACATATATATATGTATATATTTATTATAATGAATCAATTATAATAGTTTGAGCTCTGCTGTAATGTTGCTTGGATGACTTCCAGTGATGTGTTTTCTCTCACATGACCTCATACTGAAATACAAACCGTCATATTAGTGTCAGTTTGAAACAAAACCTGTTGGAGAGGCGCATCAGCAGTCCAAACACCTCAAATGAAGATAAGTATTGAACATTCATGTCACTTCAACTCGCCTGTAGACAATATTTATGCTGTGAAGTGGAGAAAGACCAGCACATTAGGAGTTATAACTCAGGGTTGGAGTACAGAATGTGCAGAATAATGTTTTTGCAGCCTGACAAAATGGCAGAAGTGTGTTTTCTGTCTAAATAGGCGGCGCATGTGACCACAGCTCAACCTTTTGGCTTCTGGGACAGTACTTTTTTGCTGGTAATGAAACAACAAGTTCTCATTCCCAAAATTTGACATCATGATTCTAGGATTTACAGTATGTAGCACCCATAGGTGTCGTTCAAGATTTAAAAGTTGCATGTACACATTGACCCTCAAGTGAAGGGGTCGGTAGGTCTTATTCACGAGTCGAGCGAGGGAAGGATGGACTGGTTCTTTGTGTTGGACTGTTGTGGTTAAGAGGGAACCAAGTCAAAAGTCTCTATGGATTCGCGAAGGATTCATGGTCCGAACCAAGCGGATCAGGAAAAAATCCACTGGAGGAAGAATAACTTTTTGAAAAATGCTAATGAAGCGTTTAGCGTCTTACTTTGGAGCAGAGCTGTGAAAATGGTCTGAACCAAGAGGCTACTCCACCTCTGCTGCTGTGACCTGAAGTGCTGTTGCTTATTATTACTATTGTTAGCTTTTTAGAATGATCAATGTATTTTAATTTTTTTTGTGAAGATGGATGTGGTTTTTGGTGCTATGGACAGATGCATTTCTCCTACAGGGTATCAATAAAGTACCCATCTATCTATCTATCTATCTATGGTCCAATCAATCTACAATCAAATGACATGTATTTATTTTTCGTACCACCCAAAATCAAAACAGCTATTGTCTAGAACAGTGTTTCCCAACCTCTTTGAGCCGTGGCACGCCTTTCTTATTGGAAATTGTAACACGGCACAACACCTGAAAGGGATAGAAAAATGAAACACGGCAGCCTTTAATAACTATGCAAGTAATTCTCATCAAAGTGTGTTTATAAAGACAATCCAATAAGGGCAAAAAAAAAAATCTAATATTCTCCTTCTCTTACTTTTTGCAGTATTTTTGACCTGAAAGGTGATGTTGGATCATTGCCAAAGGCACACCAAACATCCTCTCAAGGCACACAAATGTACAACAGGTTGAAAAACACTGGTCTAGAATGGTCGCAATTTAAAATGACAGGTCTCAAAATGTGCACAACTCCCAATAATATGCAATTTAATACAAGTAAATCCAAAAACTAAAGGCCAAGGTACACAAAAAACAGAACTAAAGTACACACAAGGAATGATGAGAGGAAAAACACGATCGGAATGACAACAAGAAGGAAGGAGCTGAGCATTTAACTGGGAGAGACAGGTGAAACACAGAAGGGTGGGGCACACTATCAACAGGAAGTAAAACTCAAATATTTCACAAAAAAAAAAATGAAATTAGAAAAACTATACTTCCAAATTATTACAATCCACATGCACCACAACGAGAGTGTCTTCACAAAAGCAGCTGATTTACAAATGGCAGAAAAATCAGGCTATTAAAACAGACGTTGGTGGAGAGACAGATGTTCACAGGGATTAAGAGGCATCAAGAAGTCTCGGAGCATCCCCCGTCCTCAGACGTCTTGAGCTGGAGAGAGACTATTGGAATGTTTGTCTCATGAGATTTTAAGTTGTGACACAGACAGTTGACCTTGCGATAAGGGTTGAACTAATTTCTCTTGACCAGACCTGGACATTGTCTCATGAAAGGTCACCCTGATGTCTGCAGCCTGCTTTAGAGGAAGAAAAACCCAAACCAAGCATCCTCACTGTAGTCACAAGCTTTGGGTAAAGACCGATACGACAAGGGGTCAAAAAGAGTTTCATCCTCCTTTTATACATGGAGATAAGAACTTGGTCACGTGGAGCTTGGTGTAGAGCTACTACTCCTCCACATAGCACGACACCAGCTACAGTTGCACAGACATCTGTTTTGGATGCCCACTGGGTGCCTCCCTACATGGGAGGTGTGCATGTGCCCGAAGAGAATTTGGAGGAAATTGAATCCATTCAACCTCCCTGCAGTTTAGCTTTCACTTCAACTTGAGAAATACAGTATGTTACAAACAATATTGATTTTTGATGTATTATCAGAATCAGAATTGGTTTTATTTCCATGGTGAGTAACCAGAAGTCACGAACAAGGACATTGCTTTGGCTCTTGGTGCAAACAAGTTTAAAGGTCCATCCATCCATTTTCTTCCCCTTAATCCATTTCTGGGTCGGGGGGGTGGCCAGAGATGCCACCCAGTTCACAGAGCACCAGCCTCTCACTGATCCTCCTGCAGGTGGTGAGTCCACAGGAGCTGAGATCCTGAGAAGTTTAAAGGTAAAAAAAAAAAAGAGTAAGGTATGCATAAAATAACAAAATCTACTTAAAGTTTCTTAAAATTATACTATTCTATTAAAATGCTCTAACTACACACAATAGACATTATAGTTAGTAGCATAAAGTGATAGTAGCATAAAGTGACAGTAGATTTAAGTGACAGTGATGTAAGCCTAGCGTGTTAAGTGTTAAGCCTGGCGTACATCGACAGAGTAACTGGAGACAACTAATTGAAGGCGGCTTTTGGCTACTGAGAGAAGATGATGGGAGATGATCAGTTGCCGAAATCGAGGTCGATGTGAGCGCTCTTACAACTGGAAATGAACAGTCGATCTCCGGATTCAGTCAGTTGCCCGTGTTCTACTAGATATCACCCGATGTGCGCGCTCCAACAACATGTGTTTATTGCGTGTATTGCGCCCTCTACAGTTTATGTCAGAAAACACACTGTAGTTGACGGCCAGCTGCTGTCGATGTACGCGCTGTTATTCCCAAGACTGGTCTGCTACTAGGAGTTGCCCGTTTTCGCCAGATTGTCGATGTGTGCTGGGCAGCAACTCATATGCGACGGATATAATCAGTTGCCAGTCCGATGTACGCTAGGCATTAGTAGCATAAAGTGTTAGTAGCATAAAATGACAGAAGCATAAAGTGACAGTAGCATAAAGTGATGGTCATAAAGGGCAGGGGAGAATGATGAGTTATGAAGTGATTGTAGATGTTGTTAATGTAGTAAACAAAACACCCTTACTACACCGTCCACACTTTCTTTTTTCTCCTCTGCTCACTGCTGCACTTCTACTCTGAGCCTCCTTAAACTTTACCTCCACATTCCTTTCCCCGTGCACTTACACCATACCTGTCAGAGAGGATACGATACTTCCCCCACTGTAAATCAAAGTTGAATGTTTTCCTGGTGAACACATGTTTGACTTTTCCCAGGCTGGCTGAGGTACAACTCTCACAGAGGCACTTTTGGGTTTGAGATCACTGAGAGAGAGAGAGAGTGAGGGAGCGAGGTGCCACCCTGGAGTGAGACTGTGAAATGTTATTATTTAGTTCCTTACCAGTGGTCTGTGACTGTGTGAAGGACAACAGGGCACAAGCAGCGAGAGGAGGAGGAAGAGGAGGAAGAGGAGGAGGAGGAGGGGGTGGACTCCAGGCATTCTGATAAACATAAGCTCTGTGTGGACAGGAAATACAATAGACAGATTAAATCTCAAATCCAGTGCAGGTCACCAAAAAAATGCGAAATAAACAATGCAAGACCCGGAAGGGCATGTACGTAATCTAGTGGTAACTGGTCTATTCTAATAAGTTAATTTGATACACTATAATGGTTTTTGTACTGTAAGGCAAGGCAAGGCAAGGCAAGTTTATTTGTATAGCACAATTCATACACAAGGCAACTCAAAGTGCTAATCAAGATAGCATTAAAATCATAAATAATCACAGAACATTAAAAAGACATATAAAAATATAAAATCCCTCAGTTGTATGCACAGCTAAACAGAACTGTTTTTAACTTGGTTTTAAACATTGTCAGAGAGGAGGCCTGTTTCACATCTTCAGGAAGACTGTTCCAGATTTTAGCAGCATGAATCTGAAAAGCAGCCTCCCCATGTTTACTTCTGACTCTGGGCACTAACAGGAGTCCAGTCCCTGTGCTCCTCAGAGTCCGGGCTGAGTCGTATGGGACTAACATGTCACTAATATATTTTGGTGCGAGGCCATGGAGAGACTTGTACACAAGCAGAGCTGTTTTAAAGTCTATTCTCTGAGCCACAGGAAGCCAGTGCAGAGACCTGAGAACTGGACTAATATGGTCGTACTTCCTGGTTCTAGTCAGGACTCGAGCTGCTGTGGCCTGTTTGGACAGACCTGTGAGCAGGCCATTGCAGTAGTCTAACTTACTGGAGACATATGCATGTGTGTAAATTTCTCCTTGTGAGATAAATAAAGCACATCTTATCTTATGTTTGAAATGTAGGGGCGACAGTGGCTCAATTGGTAGAGCATTGGCCTTTGGGCCTGAAGGTCGTGGGTTCGAGCCCACCATGGGACCTACTCCAACTGCTCCCACAAATGTCTGCTGTCGTTGTGTCCTTGGGCAAGACACTTAAGCCCACGTTGCCTCCGATGAAAGACCAAGGCTGTTTCACCACTGACGGAGCAGCCATCTTCCTGCGGACCCACCACCTGCAGAGGATCAGTGTGGGACTGTTGCTATGAACATTGGGTGGCATCTCTCATTGGCCCCCCTTACCCGAAATGGACTAATAAAGGGGTTGATAATGAATGTTTTAATGTGGGGTGATTCTGTGTGTGGACGCCAGGATGACTTTCGACAAATAGTGAAAGCTAATGGGGATCCAAATAAATAAATGAAAAAAAATATTAGAAAGATTATTTCAAATGTATTTTCAGAAGTCAAACCTTATCAACTCTCTTAACAGTAGTAGTTGAATAAAAAAATACAACTTTGCTTCTTCATAAAAATAGCTCCATTCGTACTTTTAGTATACACTAGATCAGTGGCTTTCATGTCGGTCCTCAACGGGCTGAGTGCCTGCAGCAGGAGCTCCCTTCTGTTGTCCTGGTTGGATTTTGAGAGAGAAAAGCTCTATATTAATTTCACATAGTTGTATATATTTTTTTTATGCTTGAACTCACTGTGATGCTGTCAGGTGGTTATTTAGGTAACATTTTGCCTGTTGACGTTCAACCACTTGCAAATACAAATATGTATTTAAGGTGACGATTTAACTATGAAATTTAAGCATTTAAATGAAACCAGGGTTGTCCAAACCTCTCTATTGAGGACCGTGCAGCAAAATCAAATCAATCATTTTAAATTCTGACACTGGATATTGTGATCACCGACATTTGTGTTGTGTCCATTTGTTTGTGAGCAACATAACTCATAAAATTAGGGGAGGATTTAGTCGACAATTTCAGGAAAAGTGATTCAATTTTGGAGGTGATACCACTCATTGTCTGCTGGATTCTTTTTAACCATGTTACTCTATGTCTTAGGCTTATTTCCTGTTTTTCTTAGTAATTTGTTCTTTATGGGTTGCACTTCCTGTTTCCTGATTACCTGCCCCGCCCTCATTTGTCTCGGTAGTCGTTAGTGCATTGTTATAAGCTATTTTCTGCCTTTTCACACAAACATATTGCTCCTAAAGTGAAATTATGTTATTTACAATGGCATGGTAGTGATTGCAGCCAGTACTTTTCCAATTTGAAAAAACCTCTCCCTGGGCGTGGCATAGGGATAGGGCAGGAAGCATTGATTTCCCTTGATAGTAGTGTCACCATATATTTTCTAATGAAGATATTATTTCACATTCTATAACATTAAATGGTCTCATTCTCATGTTTAATGGCCAAAAATAATGCAAAATATATGTTCCTTAGAACTCTGCTCCTCTCTGCAGAGTTCTGTGATCGTTTTCTGATAGTTATATAGTTTCAGAATTGTTAATTATAGTATAAAAAAGTATAGATATAATGTATAGATATAAGTAAGATATAAACAGCACTTGACCTCCTCACTCAACGCACATGCAGCAACCAATCAGAGAGTAGCAAAGGGGTCACGGGGACACAGAAGGAGCAGAATTATTCGTTTTTTGTAGTATAAAAAAAGTTATTTTGAGAATTCTGGCCCGAGTCTGAACTCCCCTACTTTAGACAGACATATGTATCCATCAGGTAAATCTCTGGTTTTAATTGTCATGTGGATAGTTTCAGTTGTGGTTACATTGAAAATTTAAATTACCTTTTTTTTTTCTTTAATGGCCTTACAAAAACTTTTACCACTCTCAAAACTCAAATTTTCTTCGCGAATATCATGTTCCCAGTACCCTCTGCGGTAATAGCTCCAATAACTTCCCATTAGCCACAAGTGTTTGCTCCAGTTGAGCGGCCTTGACTAACTGTATTTGAAGGTGGAGTTTCAGTTTGAGGACAGATCTGGCTTAATGTCTGCGGGTAAGCACACTGACACAATTACTTGAACCATTAGGGCCGGTATAGGCTTACACTACACTCCTGATTAAATTAATGCTTAGGAGACGCCCACCCCTCCCTTGCCGGGTCTCTCTAACAGCCAATTACGCCCGGCTCGAACCACTGGACCGCATTATCTAATGAGCACTTATTCGCAAATTACAAAACAAAAGAGAGGTGAGTGGTAGACAAGCTCTCCGACAAACTTTAACCTCCTGCTGCCTTCCAATGTGTGTGTGTGTGAGGGAGAAAGTGGAGGAAACTTTGGGCAGGCTGTAATATTGGAGATTTGAAGTTGAAAAGAAAGGAGAAAAGTGTTTGGGTTAAGAAATACACAATTATACGGTACGTCTCATTTGCAGGTGGAGTATTTTAGAGGTTAGTAAGCCACATGCTGATGATGTTGTGGCTTTTGCTATTTCTCTTTTCAGTTATGGTTCGGTAACATTAAAACTGAGGAACTTTTAAAACACATACAACAATGTAACACAATCTCTGCTACTTCTTTCGAGCTCTCAAAACTGTTAGATTATCACTTTCTTTATACTGTTTCTTTATACTGTTCAGTGAGCATACCAGCCATGACTCCAATCAGCTCATGCTATGTAAAACATTCCAATATTATAAAGAGTTTTGGTCTGATTTCATCTCAAAATGTGACTTGAAAAAGACTCAAGCAACTAGGAGCATGACATCAACATCAGCCAAGCCAAGTATTTATGAACAAAGTTTCCATCCACAGACCTAGCCTAAAACAATACATGGTCTTACATTTCTTTGATAATGATATATCATATAGGCACAGACATTCCAACACATAAAAATCTATTATTAATAATATTCAAAAAGCAAATATATTTGAAAATAATCCTTCATATTTAATGCAGTTCATGCCTAACTTAATATTTTAGTTGTTGTGTCCTTGGTTAACGTCAACATTGAGTCTTTATCTTATTACAAAACAATGTATATTTTGCGTACATTGTACGCAAAATATACATTTTACACTCCCTGTCACTATTCGACTCCTGAGTCAGCAGAGTGGTCCTCTCTGTTTCAACTTTTCTTTCATCCGTCTGAACCTAAAGCTGATCTAAAAATGTGGCAGAGGCAAAATGTTACACACCTAAAACCATTGACAGAACAGTTTTGTGAGCGGGTAAATATTGAATTGAATTAATGACGTCGTTCCATTTATTGTTTATTTTTTTGTGGTTTTAAAGTTGGTCCCTCAGCTAGTAAGTAAGTAAGTCCATCTCTCCTTTTCAAGAGTTTAAGTTTTTCAGTTCCCAAAACTGTTAAACGGCTGATTTTCGTTCGACAAGATTTAAGTGTGAAAAAACCTCCGAATCAAACCGGTATTTTGAGGACTTCCTGATTACAGAATAATTGATGTCACGCTCTTAGTGACTTCCTGAGACGCCTGTATTTCCCTTTCACTCGCGGACACATGTACTAATAAGGCGGCATAATGGCTGAAATATGGTCTTGGTTAGAGTCGGGAGAGTCTGTTGGGCTGCACACATGATATGAGGAGGCAGAACATAGGCCCCTGCACCAGGGGTCACAGAAATGGAAGCAGGTCAGTAGTTACAGGAGACATTTTAAGTGCACGATTTTAAAGACCTGTAACTGGATGCCGTGGGCGAAAACACTCCGAATGAAAATGAGGTACTGACAAGACCCGGTTGGAAAGTTGAAACACATTTTTTCTAAATTCATTATCGGTCAAGCCCTGTAGATAATTTTTGTTTGGCATGGTAGCTTTTCCAATCGAGGTGAGATATTTGCATAACATAACAGTAGGATAAGATTCAAGATTCAATAATGTATTTGCCATATGCAGTAAAACCCCATTGGAAAAATTATGCAAGACTACACTATTTTCATCCAGCCAACTTCAGCTGAGTCAATATAGGTACCTCATTGTAAAGCATTGTAAATAACTTCTAGAAATGATTTTACTTCTTTGTACAGACTGTTTTTTTTTATTGTAGCCCAAAATTCTGTTAATGGCGGTAATGTAGCTGGTGAGATGGTCATTTGTCATTCAACCAGCTTCGTCATAGCTAATTTTAAAGCCCAAATCCAGGCAAAACAGGTTTACAAGCCTGATTAACTAAAGCAACCCTCTTACTAAAACGATTGGCCTTTATGGTTGAAAGCCAAATTCCAAGGCCAGCCATATGGATAATCACATCAATAAATCGAGAATTTCAGAAAAACGCCATTTGGTGAAAATAAAATGTTCCGTCTCCCGCCATTACCGGGCCAATCACACACAACAATCATTACAGTTTAATGTCTTTTCTATCAAAATAAAAACACAAAAGGGAAATTAGTTGTTTAATTGGTTCATAAAAATTAACAGCTCAAAACATGTGATTGAAGTCAAAACAGACGGCGCGCTATAATATTAATATGGCAGGTTTACGGACCAGGAATGTCAAGCAAATACGTTTTGGATTTTGGACAACAAAACATGGACCCTGCTGCTGCCGTCACATGAATGCAAAAGTTCAAACAGGTCGGCTAATCACTACAGAGTATATCGAAAAGAACAATAGCGTCTGCGATGGAGGTCCGTATGGCTTGGTTCCTGTGTTGTGGAGCCAAGTTGGACCACCAGACCAGACCAACGCTAATCCCTCGCAGCTACCGAAGCTCATAGATGTTTGATGAAAGGAATTAATTTATTTGTAATCGCTCACAGATCTAACTGGAAAGGAGTAATGAAAAGTGATCGGGCGAGCCGTTCCAGACAACCACATCAGTAGCACGGTGGGTTTGGCAGCTTTTGTACTGCTGGAAGAAATCTCTATTATCTCGTATCTGGTTTGCCGTAACTACAGTGCTGATGGAGAAATGTGGACATGCATGTTTAATTAGAGGATTTAGAGATCGTTTTGAGCAAAAGCTAATGGGGAGGACGATCGATCATGCAGCAAGCGATGGTAGCATCATTGTACAATTAAGTTTAGATTAATAATTAAGACTATGTTTTAAGAATTACACTCATTAATACTACTGTGAAATAATATGAAGCCATTTAAAATCACCCCCAATTAGCTCCATAACCAGCAGGGGTCTCCAACCAGTAGCTCACCACCCTCTTCCAAGTGGCTCCCGAAGGATTTATAAATTACATTAATATGCTGATGTCAACAACTGAAAACTAAAGCGGTAACATTTTACAATACCTAATCTAAAGCTATCTCTCAGTATTCAATAGACCTTTTTTCCCAGGCGCCTAAAAGGAGTATGAGTACCGATAGCTATGACATCTGCATCTTTAGTCCTGAGATAGTAGCTCTCCAGGTGAAAAAAGGTTGGAGACATGCACTACACTAGAGAAAACTGCATATTTTGTTTCTTTGTTAAGCTAAAGATTGAGATTTTGATTTGGTTGTGCTAACTTAATATTCACTTGTGTGCTTCCTATTACTATTGTTCTGTTACTTGTGATGCAACACTGATATTTCCCCACTGAGAGACAAAGGAAGAATCTCTTAATCCTAAATGCTTCCCGTG